GATTCTAATCATGATATTAGTATGGCGCTGCCACTGGATTCTTGTCTTCATCTTCACTGGCTTATCACTGATAGTGGAATGCACATACTTCTCAGCTGTCCTCTTCAAAGTTGATCAAGGCGGGTGGGTTCCCCTTGTAATTGCTGCAGCATTTCTTCTTATTATGTATGTTTGGCACTATGGCACCGTGAAACGCTATGAGTTTGAAATGCATAGTAGGGTCTCAATGGCATGGCTTCTTGGGCTTGGTCCAAGTTTAGGGCTTGTTCGTGTCCCTGGGATTGGTTTAGTCTACACCGAGCTTGCAAGTGGAGTACCCCACATCTTTTCCCACTTCATCACCAACCTGCCAGCTCTCCATTCTGTTGTTGTTTTTGTATGTGTGAAATACCTCCCCGTCTATACTGTCCCTGAAGATGAACGATTCCTTGTCAAGCGAATTGGACCCAAAAATTTTCACATTTTCCGATGTGTGGCACGATATGGCTATAAAGACCTGCATAAGAAAGATGAGGATTTTGAGAGAAAACTCTTCGACAACCTTTTCATTTTTGTCCGGCTTGAGTCTATGATGGAAGGATGTTCAGATTCAGATAACTACAGTTTACCTGGACAACAAACAGAGCAGTCAAAAGATGGCCTGCTGCTAAATAACAACGAAAACACATTTTCATCTCTGGTGGATTTAACCATTTCATCTGTGGATTCGATAGTGCCAGCCAGATCTCCATCCCATGTAAATAATACTCTCGGGTCCTCTGGTCTATCAAGTGGCCATCCTGAGGTTGATGAACTTGAATTTTTGAAAAGCTGCAGGGGTGCAGGAGTGGTTCACATACTCGGGAACACAGTTGTGAGAGCTAGGAGGGATTCAAAGTTCTACAAGAAAATAGCTGTTGATTACATATATGCATTCCTTAGGAAGATATGCAGGGAGCATAGTGTCATCTTCAATGTCCCTCATGAGAGTCTTCTAAATGTTGGTCAGATATTCTATGTATAGCCCTTCCCCCTCCCATTCTCTTTATTTTGGTCCATGGTCAATAAGATGTATCCTTTGAAACTGCCATTTTGTGCACCGTTGAGCATAGTGTAGAATATGGCAATCGTGTCACAAATGGAAGGAAAAAGGCTAGAAAAGAAACTCGTTTTAAGCCTCGAACGGCTGGCCAGGTTGATCCCTTCAATAATCTGCTTGGATATTGAACATGATTTGCATGGCAAGTCGCTTGAACCTTCAGATTGGAGAGATCATTATTCTTTCAAGTCCATGCTCATTGGGCGGCACCAAGCGTAATGGATCGTAATCTCTTATTTCTTATTTTGTGTTGAAGCTTTGATTTAATCTTTTGTCATGGTAAAGTCATGCATGCAGGTTCTCTCATGACTCCCCAATAACAAGTGGGCAATTTTTGTCTGCGCCTCACATTTATTCGCGGTAATAGAAATGTATCAAAATGAGTACATGATCACTAAACTGGTTTTTTTTTTTTTCTTTTTTTGAGTTGTGCCTTCAGAGAGTGGTCAGAAAGTATAACTGTGTATAGGTTTTTTTCCCCCTCCCTTTGCTTTAGTTTTCCTTGTACTTTTAGATTTCAAATCTTTTTCGGAGAGTATTGTATGAAATTATTGTTAACACCTAATAAATTTTTTATTGAAATTGGGGCAGCTTTTCTTTCAGTTCTTGTCATTTTTGAAATCACTTTTTTTCCCACTCTCCTCTCTCTCTCTCTCTCTCTATATATATATGTGTGTGTGTGTGTGTGTATATATTAACTATTTCACATATCATTTTCTACTGTTACCCTTTTCTATGCTATTTCTCATAGAATTCCATCTTCATTCAAATAAAGAAACACCAACTATCTTCCTTCATTGCAACCTATCAGACTCTCTTAACTTGAGCAAAGAGTATAGTGAAAATGAGAGGGTAGAGAAGGCAGATGAGAGAAATTACTGACTGGTATAGTAGGTAGCCTTATAATAATAAACTTATACACAATTTATAATGTACAAATTGACCTCGTTGACCTTGTCAAACATAGGCAGTATAAATGTAAGATATCGAGTTCAAGTCTTTGTGAATATACAAAATATTTTTGAAAGAATTATCCTAATTGGATCTTACAATGCTTGCATTTAATAATTATATAAATTTTTGTAATAACTTTTAATATTTTTAAGTCAGTATTTTTACACCTTAATTATCACTAAGATAACCCAAAGCAAACTTAGATCAAGATCCCTGACTAAACTAAAACGAAAAACAAAAAGCATAAACACGGCCAGGTGGGGATAGCAATGACCCTTTAAAAACAGTGTAAAACGAAGTAGCCTATGGCCAACAAAACATATCATGGCACTACCATTCATTCCATGATAGCTGTCTTCAAGCATAAAATTTTCAAACAAGGATAAAATAGGATTGAGAAAAAGCTGAAAATTCCAAATTAGGTTTTCGAAACTGGAACCCAAAAACACAGAAAAAAGAAGGGTAAAGAAAACTAGGGGACCAGTGGAGGAAAGGGGAGAGGCAGAGAAGTAGCGGTTATCTAATCGGAGGGGTAAATATTCAGTGACCCCAAACATCTCAGATAAAGCCATCTTTTCAATGTCTGCAAGCTTGTTAAGAAATAATGACAAATTAATCATCAATAATATTAATTATAGGTTCTTAAATATAATTTTCACAATTAAACGTTTAATTCGCTGCACCCATCTTGGCTGTGTCAAATAGAGACAACAATTATGGGTAGAATCCATTAGGTTCTGTCAGCTGGGCCCTGCTTTGCTATTCTCGGAGTCACTTCTATGGCTTTATATATTCACAATCACAGGCGCAAAGTCTTTTCTTTAACAGCAGAATGGCCACTGAAGTAGGCATATGGCAAATTCTGTCCAAAACGGCCTAATTATTCTCAACTCTCCCACTCCTTTTCTGATATTAAGTTTTTTTTTTTGGGGTAAACTGGTGTTACTATCTTTGTGGGGAAAAAAAAATCTCTTCACTATTGATCGCCCTCCACCACTATCAAGAAATTATTGAAAAAAAAAGATGACGTTGAAATCAATGACCAATTCACTTTAAGAAATAACAACTTTAATTATTGGATAAAAGATAACGTGAAGATCAATGACTAATTCACTTTAAGAAATAACAACTTCAATTGTTTAAGGTGACAATAAAAACTTCAACGCTGACAATTATCATTTTAAAAAGTTAGGTTTGGGTTTTAAATGTCATTCTATTTGAGGTAATCTTATTTGAGATATGATTAGGCACTAAATATGACTGCATCTTTCAATGACAATTCAAATTTTGATCCATTATGTTATGAAAAATTAATCTTTTTTATTAAATTTATCCTCGTTGGTTAAGAAACAACAACTTTAATTATATGAAATGACAACATAACTTTCATTGGTGATAACTTTAAAACTAAAAAGCTGAACCAACTGGCATTGAATTTAATAAAGAGAGTTACTCCCTTACAATGTAACAAACTAACGTCCCCATTGAAAAAATGTTCATATTTAATGTTCAAATGTGTTTCTAACAGGAGTTGTCTTTGCTAAAATTTTAATTACCATCGTATAATTAAAATTACTATTTCTTATGGTGAAATAATCATTGATCTCTAGGTCACTCCATTTTCAACAATTATCTGACAGACGGACCGTTGAAACTTTGAAAATTGATAGTTGATGGGGTTTTTTTTTTCTCATAAAGAAAATAATGTTATTTCACCAAAAAATTTGATTAAAAAAGGAGTTGGGACTTCAAAGTAATTAGACTATTCAATTATCCTTTTACTTTATACGCATATTTGTAGAGTCTTTTTTTTTTTGTGTGTCATCTGTTCTTTTTAGATAAGAAATCTAACAAAAAAATTTTAAAATATTTTCTATCCTAAATTCCAAATTAGTGGAATGGATCAATGATTATTTTCTATCCTCTTCGTATTGAATGCATTATCTTGTTACATATAAAAGGATCTTTACTCAATTTCAAATCATGAAACTTTACAAACGAAGATTCAGTTGCGAGAGATGTTGATAGTAACATTAACACAAATGTTAATATTGATTAATATTAATATTAATATTAATAGTAGTAATAAATTCCCGTAGTTAATATATTACTTTATTTTTGTTTATACGAAAAATATTAATAATATGTTTTCTTTTGGTCGGAGTATCATTTATTTTTTACTATGCGGAGATTTTTTGGTTGGCTCAAGAACTTGGCTCTATTTGTCAACGCTCAAAAAAAAAAAAATGGACTTGCCATGAACTTAAGTTTTTTTTTTTTTTTGCCCATTGACAATAATGGACAGAGTTCATTGAGAAAAGTCTTTAAATATCATTTTTGTTTGCTGGTAAAAAATATGATTTTGTTTTACAAAATTAGATGTGTCTTTGAGAAACATCCATATTAATTATCATATGATAGTAAAACTTACAATAAATTACAGTGTAGTTCATATGATAGTAAGATTCATTCAAAAATGTAGTTTGAATGAATCTTAGTTAACAATAAATTGGTAAATTAAATTTCATAAATTATCCATAAAAAGATCTTTCATTCATGTCAAGTTAGCATGTCTACTAAATAACCATGGCTTCTCTTTGAAAAAAAAAAAAATCCTGCAATAAGATAATTTGAATGACTAACTTGGCAATTTTTCTTTGTCTAAAAAACAAAATTAAAATATGAACAATTCTGAAAATAATTTACTTAAAATAAAACAAAATTTCGACTAATGATTACATAAAAATCTGAATTATTTAAAAAATAACCGAATTTATTTTAAAAAATCATCTGAGAAGGAAATCAGGAATAGAAAACTTATAGAAGACCTCCAAAAGAAAACAAAAACGGTTTTCAAAACTGCCAGTGAAAAAGATCAAAAGTGAAATTAAAAAATCGGAGCGAACACAACACACACATTAAAAAAAAAAAAAAGGGAAAGAAAGCAATTGATGGCGGCGAAGCGATGATGAGAAAGAAGAGAGCACTTGCTTGCTCTCAGAATCGTCGGAGGAGGGAGAGAAAGGGAGAGAGAAAAAGCAAATCACAGAAAAGGAAAGCGAGAATGAAACCTCAACACAAAAAAGAGAAGAATGGGAAGCAACACAAGCGAAGCAAATTCGAAGAGGAGAGAGCAGGAAGAGGAGCAAACTCTCCTGGTTTCGCCACGTGGCGGAGCTGGAGTGGTCGAACGCTTTGGAGGGTTCAACGAGAACATCAACAACAACATCCCACGCCTTCTCTCTCTCTCTCTCCTGCCATGTCAGAGTGTAACCCCGTCCCATGGGGACTATGACCCCGGCGATTCCGTATTTGTAGTATGCTTTCTCTCTCTAAACAAACACTCTTTCTCTATCTACAAAGCCAACATCAACAACTATCTTTTTATCTCTCTCTCTCTCTCTCTCTTTATTTTTTCTTTTGGCTGCCCCTTCTCGTTCCTCGCTCGCTTCTATGCCCTAATCTCCCACCTCTCTCCCCCACGCCTACTATCTACTTCTCATCTCCTTATCTGATGCAATCTATTTGATTCATGCTTTTTGATCCACCTGCAAGATTGGTATGCTGGTAAATTTGTTTCCTTTGCTGTTTCTTTATCGTTTTAGCTGAATTTTTGGCATCGTTAATTATTGCCCGGAATCTATCTATGTCTCCTTAATTGGTAAAGCTACTTCACCTGTAATTGTAGTCTTTGCTGCGAAGTTTCTGCTTTTAGCGAGCAGCTATAGTGCTTGGATTTTGGAGTAGTAGTTCCTGAGCAAAGTAGTTGCTTAAATTTAAATGAGGTTTCTATCTGTCTAGTCTGAGTTCAATGTGCATAATGTTCAACTAGAGTGAATTGTTGAACTGTAGCTTTTCTGTTTTTGTGGTGTCCTTAAGCATACATTCACCAGTTGTTGAAGGAAGGTAGGCGTGTGTTGAATTGAGCACATTTTATAGGTTGTGGAAGAGAGGGTCCCCACAGTAGTCAGTTGATGCTAGTGTAAATAATCTGATCCTGCTTTGGACTTGGAATATAAATGGATTCCAACATAATAGCTAATACTATAATATCTCTAGTTATTTCCTCCTGTGCACTTGTAGTCTTAGGTTGTACAGATTCAATTTTTGTTCCCTGGGAATCCATAGCTTTTAAGCCTGCACTGCTTTTTCTGTTTTTTGGAAGAAGCAAAGTAATTATTTTGTCATTTAAATTTAGCATGAAAAACTGCTAGTGCATGGATTAGTGTCCTAAAATATTAACTTGTTGCACATTTGTTCTTTCAACATTTTTGAGTCACTTGATAATAGGACTAATGTGCGAAGAGTTTGTTATTTTCAAGGACTAACTCACACACTCACTAATCTTTGGGCTTAAAACTATTTGCACCAGACAATTCATGCTGGGGCCTAATTGTTAATATAATGTTTTTTTGGAAATATTTCCTGCTTACTATTAATGTAACTGCAAACAGTGGCCTAGCATTTGTAATGGGATTGATGCAGGCCGTTGATTTTTTATTTGTATTATTAAAGGAAATGCATGTTTATCTCTTGTGAAAGATACACCAATTAAATTGACCAAATGCAAATATTACCCAGTTTAGATGACAGAATTCTGACTTTTTATTTCTTTCTCTAGTGGAAATTCCTAAATTGTTCATTATCAAGCAAAATCTTATATCGGCTTTGATTTCCTTTCTTATAGTTGAAAACTTGGATTTCTTTCTTATCTTTCATTCTGCTGTTTCTGATGTTCAAAGAAGCTTAGTCTGGCCCTTATTTTTAGGCCAATAACATTTTGAGGGCATCGTGCTATTTCTTATTTTCTTTAACTAAGACTGATTTATGACAATTAAGGGCTTGCTTGGGTAACTATCAAAAGTATATTCAAACCATATCTGGAATGTGTTTTTGCCAAATCCAACGAATAGCTGGATCCCCTAAATGTACTTTTGCCATATGTAAACTGAAATTTAAACAGGCACTAAATTTGAGACGGAAGGCTTCTAAATTTTAGCAGAGAACTGTTATATGTGTTAAGAATAACACATAGTGGTAGCATAATAATAGTAAAGAAGAGAGGAGCAATGAAGGAGACAAGATAATTATAGATTATGAGCTTTCATTTATTGAACTTAGGAAACTCCCTTGAGTCATAATGATGGGATAATTATAGACCTTGGGAAATGCTTCCCAGACTTGGTCAGGCCAGGATTTCTGAATGTCTCAGATGTTAAGAAAACATAAATTGAAATACTTATGATTCTTAATAACGTAGATGAGCCCAAGATGTATGAACTAACTGAACTCATTTTGCAACAGTGTTTAATTACCTTCGAGACTGAAACTATCACAAGATTAATTTGTTGGACTAGTTCCTCTTAGTTACCAAGGACAAGTCCCTTTTCCCCCCTGATTGATCCTTTTGACGTTTTCTTGACTTCCAAAGGGGCTGGAATTTGTCTTATCAACTGATAAATATTAGGTCGGGGACAAGATCTCTAATTTCACATTGTACAACTGTCTCAAAATGGACTAGATTGATTATTTAAACCAGATGTTGTGATTATTCCGAGACTTAATTTAAGGGGAATTTCATCATTTAGTTATTAACTAATGCTGCAAGTTCCTCAAATTTTAAACTTTTGCATTATGTGCTTGTAATACTTTGTTATCCTGTTTCAATTTTTCTGTCTCTGCACTGCAACAGTCAATAATTGGATAAAGTCTACCAGTAAAAGACCTGTCTCAATCAAATGTTCATTCTCTTTTGCATTGAATTTTCATTGCCCCGTGGGATGCTGAAAGTTCAAGAAATTGATTTCTTCTATAGGACCTTTATATGAGTAATGAAGGAGAACAAATCGTCAAGTAGAATGATCAACAGGAACTGGGTTTTAAAACGCAAGCGGAGAAAACTTTCAATTGAACATTCCAATGGTAAAGTAGACAATTCAATAGTGCCTGATTCTTCTAGGAACGCCTCAACAAAACGATCGCTAAAGACTGAAGTACCTACCGGTCAATTTTCCTCTAAGAAGAAAGGAAATGATGGGGTGAGTTACCTTTTCTTTGAATAATTGATCACATGTACAAGTGAAGGTTTAACCCAAGGATAATATTCGGCTTAAAAAGTGGAGGGAATTAAAGGAACGTGTGGTGGATGATGTTCTTTTCCATTCTAATTAGAAATTTAGAGATGGGGATGGACTAAATACCCATATACTCTGGGTACACATAAAATTTACCCACTTGGACTTGGGCATGGGGATATTTTTTGGATATTTTCTTAGTATGGGTCTCACTCGTATGAAATCCACCCTTTTTTAGATCCATAATGTTTATATATCTATCTCTCAATATTTATGCACACGTTTTTATGGTATTAATCTATATAATCTATTATTAAAAATAAAAAGTACCCCCCAACTGGCATTATATAGATTTTGAATTATTAGTTGTTCACGACATGATTCTTTTTTGTGATTTTATATGAACTTATTTCATCTAAATGGGACTCAATTTCCTAAAAACATGTTTATCTTGAAAATTTTCCAAGTAAATGGGATTGGGTCTAAGGATTGAACGGATTAATGAGGATGGGGAATTTCTTGCTTGCTAAATTTATTTTGGGGATGGGGACCATATTACCAACCCACAATCATCTCAAGTTAGAAATAGCAAGTTTCAAAAACCAAACTTTTGAAGAGGGGACAGCTCTACAGAGTTATAGTTAGTTTAAGGCATCATTTTAGTGTATTTTTAAAATTTTTTTTATGATTCTTTTGACTGCGCTAACTGTGATGTCCTAAATCTTTGGATCCAGTATTTCTATGAATGTGTAATTTGTGATCTTGGTGGAAACTTATTGTGCTGTGATAGCTGTCCTCGCACTTATCATTTACAGTGCCTTTCTCCACCTCTTAAGGTATGCTCATTTCAGCCAATATAAGGCTGTCTATCAACATTAAATGGTGATATTCAGAATTTACTTTTAGTCTAAACTTCATTTCTAATTTATAATTTATCCTCTGAAGCGCATCCCTATGGGAAAGTGGCAATGCCCAAGCTGCTCTCAAGGAAATGATCGACTGAAACCGATAAACCATTTGGATTCAATTGCAAAACGAGCCAGGTCAAAAGTTGTCACTGCAAAAGCAAAAGATGGAGTTAGTTCACTTAATATGGGCAAAGTATCCCAGATTTTTGGTAGCACACTAATATCAAAGAAAAGGTCTTCCAGCAAAGGAAAATCTATTTCAACTGGGGGAGACAAATTCTTAAGAAAGGAATTGTTTTCTTCCCCTTTAGATGTAACAAGTAGTAACAAGCTAAGTGATCCGTCTCTTGGGATTTCGATCGAGGGAACTTCATCATGTGCAGATGCTGATGAAGACAAGAAATCTAACATGCCCCCAACAGTCTCTCCTGTTGATAGGAAGTCAACCTCAACAGCTGATGAAGTTTTGTCAACTCCTAAAAGTACTAATTTAGATGCAGATGATGAACAGGTGGATGGGAAGCCTGATTTATCTTGTGATGACGTGCCTTCAAGAAAACAACTTGTTCTTGCAATTGCTGCTGTTGGAGGGGAAGTTAGAAAGAGGAAGCATGAGGCTAATAATAATATCAGTAAAAAGAACTTGAAGACTGAAAAGGGTAAATCTACTGTCAAGACTTCCATGAAGTGCAAATCTGGAAATAATAAAGTGCACAAGAAGCAGAAGTCTGTGAACAATAGTGTTTCTGCATCTTTATCAAGAGAGGAAGTTGGAAATAAGGATTCTGATGTTGAGCCAAAAGATGAGGTATTGTTTTTACTCTCTTGAATTCTTTTCTGTTTAAGTATGTTTGGTTGTGACTGCATAAGCATTTCATTTGGTGTCCAAATGATGAATAATTATTGAAATGCTTCCTAATCTAATACCATTTTGACTCCCTATTCTTCTTTCGTTGTCCCCTTTGCCTTCAGTTATTCCTAATTAGAATTATCAAGTGTCAATTCATCTTAAAAACCTATGCTGTAGGAAGAAGATTTGGAATGCCTTTTACTTGTTATCTCTCTCATCTTACTTGAAATCTCTGAGACCGGAAGTGAAAATTTGGAAGAAACAAAGGCCAATGATGCATTACACTAAAATTTGTCTTGCCAAAGATGCCATAAAAATTCATGTCAGCTTTTCACTTGATATGGTTTTCTATTTAAACGTGAATTTTTATGTGCTGTGGCTCTATGTTGATCTCCCTTTTTCTTGCAAGACATCCTTGTTAGTTTCAACTGTCAAGTGCCAACCCATTTTGGTGGAAGTGGCTTCCATGCTCAACCTTGTGGAAGTGGGAAAAGTTCCATGGAACTCATTTTTAGAGACAATTTTATCTTCAACCAGCAATGTTTTGGACAATCTTGCTCTTTGCAATTTTGTCTCGGATATAGCTTTGCGTTAACCCTAGTGGTTGATGATGACAACAATGGCTGAGAGCAATAGAGGTCAATGATGATTCTAGGTGGTGGCAACGATGGTCTGAGACACCTCATGTGATTGTCCCACCAATGTTTGATGTGTTCTTTGTATGAGGTGCTGACAGAAGTGTCGAGGGCCTTGCAATGGAGATGTGAGGATGATGATCATGGTTGATGAACCTGAGGCGGCTTCTTGTTTGTTTCAAAAATATACTTGGATTTGTTTTGATATATCTGCATCTGGATCTGTTCAATTTTGTGATTTTCGGATTGTTGTTAGATTTCAATGGCAGTTCTCTTTTTGCTGCTCCATGTTTGATGTCTCTGTCTGCTTTGCAATCTTCTTTCTCTGGTTTGACAAAGCATTGATTTCTTGGTTAGACTTGTGGGTTCTGGTTCTGGTTTCTGGCGGTGGAGGTGCTGCTGGTATTTAGCGTGGAGAGTGGGTCTGACGGCGGTTCCATTTTTTCGGTTGAATAATGATATTTTGGTTTTGCTATTATAAATATATATATTTCAAATAAAAGTTGTATAAGGATTCTATGCTCATATCATACATGTTTCTAAAACACATTGCCATCCCCATTTCCTCTTCCTCTTCCACTTCCACTTCCCCCCTTCAAAACAACTTCTGGATGCTGCCAAACAGGGAAATGGAGAATCCTCCTTCTTCTAAAAAAGTTATATTGAAAATTATTTCTCAAACCTGCAGAAGTAGTTGAGCTCTAATTCTTGATAACTACTACTGCACGACTAAGTACCTATAGAAAAAGAAGTCATGTACCCATCCAGCTTAGTGTCAGACACTTGAAAAACTGCTTGGATCTATTGGATTGCTGCATACAAGTGTGTTTTCATCCTTGATATGTGAACTTTTTGTGTTTTCCTATGTTTCATTTTGGCGTTGTTATTTCTGTCAATTACTCTGTTGCGGTGTTAATGACACACATTTGGGTTTATAAGTAGATGCAGGAGATTCCTCAGGCAAATAAAAACAAAGCATGTGAGTTTGATAAGGCAGCTAGTCATGTGGATGAAACTTTAACGCATGAGGACAATACTGTAGGTGAATCTCTGCAGGTAACTATCTCAAATAGCTTATGTTAATGGTTTGCATTAGTTTAATGGAGGCGGTATTCTCCCTGGGTTCTTGCAAGTGATGATCATGACTGATTTTGTAGTTTCTGTTATGTATGTATCACAGGTTGACCGGGTTCTAGGCTGTCGAGTTCAGGATAAGAACACAAAACCATCACAAATTTTATCTGTGACTGTCCTGGATGATCTACCCTCTCATGATCTGCCAATCCCTGAAAATGGAGACGCTCGAGATCTCCCTATCCCAGAAAGTGGAGACACTCGGGATCTGCCAATCCCAGAAAATGAAAACAGACTAGTAGAGAATAGTTCTGCTTGTGGTAATGATATGAATGTTGAAACTGCTGCAAATATCCCAGATGATTGTCCAAATGTTGTCAAGATTGCTGATAAAGAAAGCTTGAAAAACAATAATAAAGTGGAAAGACTTAATGTATACAGAAGATCAATGACAAAAGACAGTAAAAAAGGCAATCCCATAAATTCATTGAGTAAAACTCCAGGTGATTTAGATTCCAGTGCGACAGATAATAAAAAACATGATGATTCTGCTGCAAGTGCTGAGCATTTGGCAAAAACAAATGACAAGATGGAGATTGTGGAGGATGTAAATGTTACTTTAAGAAGCGAGGACAATAGTGAGCTTCTGAAAAATTGTGAAGCACAGGTCTCTCCCAAAACCAAATCAAAAGAGGTGGATGCAGATAAGGGGATGAGCAGTGCTGTTGCTAACAAAGTTCAGGAAGCTAACGTGGCTGAACCTTCATGTCTAAACCAGGAGAAAGTCTTCTATGAATTTTTGGTTAAGTGGGTAGGAAAGTCACATATTCATAATAGTTGGATTTCTGAATCCCATTTGAAAATTCTTGCAAAGAGAAAATTAGAAAATTACAAGGCCAAGTATGGGACAGCTATAATAAATATCTGTGAGGAACGTTGGAAGCAGCCTCAACGGCTGCTTGCTATCCGTACATCAAAAAATGGAACGTCAGAAGCATTTGTAAAATGGACTGGACTCCCTTATGATGAATGCACTTGGGAAAGTTTAGATGAGCCTGTTCTCCAGGCTTCTTCACATCTACTCGATCTTTTTAACAAATTTGAAACCCTTACCCTGGAAAGGGATGCATTGAAGGATAATTCAACTAGGAAAAACAATGACCATCAAAATGATGTAGTTAATCTTCCAGAACAACCTCATGAGCTAAAAGGTGGTTCTCTGTTTCCCCATCAGCTTGAGGCTTTGAACTGGTTGAGAAAATGCTGGTGTAGATCCAAAAATGTGATACTTGCTGATGAAATGGGGCTCGGAAAAACAGTATCTGCTTGTGCCTTCATGTCATCATTGTATTTTGAATTCAAAGTTGTACTGCCTTGCTTGGTATTGGTCCCACTTTCCACAATGCCTAATTGGCTTGCTGAATTTGCATTATGGGCTCCAGACTTGAATGTTGTGGAATATCATGGCTGTGCAAAAGCAAGAGCCATAATTCGCCAGTATGAATGGCATGCTAGTGATCCCAGTGGATTTAATAAAAGAACTGCTTCCTATAAATTTAATGTTCTTTTGACTACATATGAAATGGTGCTTGCTGACTCTTCTCATTTACGTGGAGTTCCCTGGGAAGTTCTTGTGGTCGATGAGGGACATCGACTGAAGAATTCTGAAAGTAAGCTTTTCAGCTTGCTCAATACATTCTCTTTTCAACATCGTGTACTTTTGACTGGTACCCCTCTTCAGAACAACATTGGTGAGATGTACAACTTACTCAATTTTTTACAACCAGCTTCATTTCCTTCTCTGTCTACATTTGAGGAGAAATTCAATGATCTTACAACTGCTGAGAAAGTTGACGAATTGAAAAAACTGGTTGCCCCTCATATGCTCCGTAGGCTTAAAAGGGATGCCATGCAAAATATTCCACCCAAGACAGAGAGAATGGTTCCTGTTGAGTTGTCATCTATCCAAGCCGAATATTACCGTGCCATGCTTACAAAGAATTATCAGATATTGCGTAATATCGGGAAAGGGGTTGCACAGCAATCTATGCTTAACATTGTGATGCAACTTAGAAAAGTCTGCAATCATCCATATCTCATACCAGGAACTGAGCCTGATTCTGGATCAGCTGAGTTTCTTCATGAAATGAGAATAAAGGCTTCGGCCAAATTGACTCTTCTGCATTCTATGCTGAAGATTTTGCATAAAGAAGGACACAGAGTCCTTATTTTCTCACAAATGACCAAGCTGCTTGACATCCTAGAGGACTACTTAAGTATTGAGTATGGGCCTAAAACTTACGAGAGAGTGGATGGCTCTGTTTCTGTGGCTGATCGTCAAGCAGCAATTGCACGCTTTAACCAAGACAAAAGTCGATTTGTGTTCTTGTTATCCACACGATCCTGTGGTCTTGGGATAAATTTGGCAACAGCTGACACTGTCATTATCTATGATTCTGATTTCAATCCACATGCTGATATCCAAGCAATGAATCGAGCGCATAGGATTGGACAGTCAAATAGACTTTTAGTATATCGGCTTGTCGTTCGTGCCAGTGTTGAAGAGCGCATCTTGCAGCTTGCTAAGAAGAAACTGATGCTTGATCAGCTTTTTGTAAATAAGTCTGGATCTCAAAAGGAAGTAGAGGATATTTTGAAATGGGGTACTGAAGAACTCTTCAGTGATTCTCCTGGTCAGAATGGGATGAATGGAAGTGAAAATAATGGCAACAAAGAAGAGACAGTTGTGGATGTTGAACATAAGCATCGAAAGAGGACTGGTGGTTTGGGAGATGTATATAAGGACAAGTGTACAGATGGTAGCAGCAAATTTGTGTGGGATGAAAGTGCAGTTTTAAAATTGCTTGATCGTTCAAACCTTCAAGATGGCTCAAATGATGTTGCTGAAGGAGATTCTGAGAATGATTTGCTGGGTTCAGTTAAGGTGAAGTGTTTATTGAATACCTAAGCTTGAAGTCGTTAGTTAATTGTTTATGCTAAATTTGATCGTTTGGTGCATTGTGAAATACGTGAATCAATATTTTTGCCACTTCTACTTGTAAACCCTTTCTATCTCCCTCTCAGGTGGCTTTTTTTCTGGGGCTATCCATACATTGATATATCTATGTTTTAGACCAATTTACTTGGTTCTATATTTACCTAATCTTTTGAAGTTGCATCTATCACTAGTATGTGTACAAGCTAAATAGGTAAATTGATGCTGCTGCTTCAGTTTCGGTTGCCCTCATACTGAATGTTCTGAAGACCTGTTCTTGTTAATCTTCTTTGGAACTTGATAGAAGTCTCATTATCCCATAAGTTGGTATTCATTAGCCTCTAAATAGTTTAATGAAGTTGTAAGTTTTTCCCCTTAAGTTGCGTCTTAGATATATGTTTAGAGAATGGGATGCTTTTCATTGATTCTTTTTGTAACCCTGCTACTGGCTTAGTAACGCAAGGCTGCTCTCTTGTATATGCAGAGAGATTAGTCTAAATTGTTTAATATATGGTTTTTGTGGCTTTCTGCTTTCCTGTCCTCATTTCTTTAGTTTTCCTTGTAGTAGGATGGTTTATCCTCCCTTGTAATTTCTTCCTGATACGATATTTTTTCTGTTAAAAAAAGTTGCACCTCCTTGACTAAACATTTAAATAGATGCCAAAAGTGAATATTATTCTATAATTTATTCTGATTGAAGTTTGCTTTGTCTTAATCAGTCCCTTGAATGGAATGATGAACCAGCTGAAGAACAGGGTTTAGGTGAATCACCTCCTTGCGGAACTGATGATGTCTCTACACAAAATTCTGAAAGGAAAGAGGATAATATGGTGAATGGTACTGAAGAAAATGAATGGGACAGACTACTTCGGGTGAGGTAAGGAAATTCTATTTGGTTACATCCTTTCCTTGTTGTATATTACGACATCCAACCACTGAGTTTATTTATAGTATAAATTCGACACTTGGTTATAATTAATATAATGCTTGTTGAGGCTTTAAGAACTTTGGAGGGAATTAGAATGTGGGAAAAGAAGGATAGAGCAATAGAGAGAGAATGAGAGGAACAGAGAACTTGATCATTTGTTGTACTGTCATTCACGAGTTAGGGGGTTCCCCTTTATATGGATGGGTAATTAGAGCCTAGCAAACTCTGGAAGGTTGTTATGGCTGTTCGTATGAAGACCAATACTTCAAAAAAGTAAATGTATCCGGTATGATACACGTACAATACTTTGTAGTATGTATCTCATGTTCTAACATTTGTATGATGATCTTTTTTTCAAAAAATTTTTTGTTACTAAAAACTTGAAAATATATATGTGTATATATATATATATATATATATGTTTTGCATGTACACCTGATATCTGGAGTCCTTTGGACTCCGACTAAGCCAGATCAGACCACAAGGGCGGCAAGCTCTCTCAACTAGTGTTTAATGCAGCTTTATACCTAAGGCTTGAATTTGACGCTTCTAGTTAAGCTAGTAAAGCCTCTAACCAGCCAAGCTGCATGCTCGTTGGTAAAAACTTAATATTTTAGTTGATTGTTAAAAGTATTTTTATGTTATGTTAGAAATACTTGTTTAAAAATCAAGATACCTATACCTGTATCATCAAATGTTGAAATATATATATTTTCTCGTGTTTGTATCTTAAAATTTTGAAAATTTTTATATTATCGTATCTGATACATTTACCTGTATTGATGCTTCTTGCTATCAGCTTCACTACTGTCACTAGCTATTCTGCCTTCATATCCCAAAGCAAGCTAGTGATCCCCTTGACACTTTTATCAATTCTCTCCCTTTCTTTCACTTATTGACACAATTAAACATTTTAAAATCATTAGTTAACTGTGAACCTTTGGCTATCTTATTTTCTAACATGTCTATCCCATAAACCCACTTTTTAAAATAGACTATTTGTTACAAGCCTAAGAACAGGTTTTATCTCCAAGTTTATAGTGACGTATGTGTCGAAAATCTTGAAATTCATGTTACCTTGCATTTTAGTAGAATAGTTTAGTTATCAAGCAGACTGAATAAACTTGCTTATCTGAAATTACTTCTGAATCTGTTTGGTATCTAGGTGGGAGAAGTATCAGAATGAGGAGGAAGCAGCTCTTGGTCGAGGAAAGCGGCAGAGAAAAGCAGTTTCTTATAGGGAAGCATATGCTCCCAACCCAAGTGAAACATTGAGCGAGGTAATTTGCTTTCCTTCTGCTTGCAAAGTGATGGAAGATGGAAAATGAAGAATTAAATATGAATATAGGAAATGAGATTTTAATCAAGTTTGGAATTTTATATTTTAATGTTTTTTATTTAACGTGTTTTATTTTAATTATCCATGGTCCCTTTATTAAGTTATTAAAACGAAAACTGTGATTTGAGAATTAGAAAAATAAAAGCAAAAAATAAAGTAAAAATCATAAAATAAGAAAAATGCTAAAAGTACAATATTTCTAAATTAAATTTTCTTACACCTAAAACAAGTTTCCCATGGGAAAGTTTAGAAATATGGTACTTTTATGTATTTTCTTATTTTATGACTTTAACTTTATTTTTTACTTATTTACTTTCATCTCAAATTCTTACGACACACTTATGTGGAGCCCATGGATAATTAAAATAAAAAACGTGTTGAATAAAACAAAACACATAAAAATATTAAACTCAAATCCTAATTAATATCGTATTTCTTATGTTGACATTTTTTTAGCCTCATGGCTCATTTTTTTCCCCTGAATTTTGCTCTCTGTTTGTCTGGAGTGAATGGCTTTTTATTCTGGGGCCAGCACCTCTATAATAAATAGAAAATCATTATTTTCCCATTGAGCATCACCTCCATGGTTGTATAAAACCAAGGATAGCTCTCACAAGACAATTTCAACAAGATTTATCATTGCAGTAATTCTCAGATGGAATGATATGCTTTTAGCATCTCCAATCTTTAAGATTTCTTTCAGATTTAAGGTACAGTTTCCATCATTAAAGAATAGATCTTGTTTGATATTCAAAACCAACCTTGTGGATTCTTTTAACTGCAAAATAGAAGCAAACGAGAAAAATTTTGTTATCATTTTCAATTTTCTGATTAGAATTACAAAAATTAAAAAGGTTGAAAATTGACTTTATTACAATTTCTGGATGAAAAATAGCCACTAGCTGTTCAATATCAATGAATTGTTCAGATACTCGAACTCTTTTAGTTTCAGTATTTCAGCTCTCAAGTCTCCTGTCTGAAACTAATCTTTCAAACTTTGTTGCATATCCTCCCATGTCAATTAACTACTTGATTTTTAGCCGTTTTGTGCCTCGTTATCCTAGTATAATTTTCATATTTTAACATGTTAGTCTAGAAGCTTTTTGCCACATAAAACCTCTATTGCTGGGGAAATATTTTTGGTAATTTTCTGGAACTTTATCTTCATATATTGCATTGTCACACAAATTAGTGTATATTTTTCATCAGATCCTCCTCTTGATGTTATTCTTATATTTTGCCTCAAGCAGAGTGGGGATGAGCAGGAAAAAGAACCAGAACCAGAGCCTGAGCGTGAATATACACCCGCAGGGCGGGCTCTAAAAGCAAAATTGTATGTTTATGCCTTTTGTGAATTAAAGTTGCTTTACTGTGATTAAACATTGATATAGAACACCTACTTCTGGCTGTGTCATTGCAATTAGATGGGATGGTCATTATGGCTTCTTTCAGGGGGTTTCTCTTGACAGTATATTGACAGTTTAAAAACACTAAATCATTGGCAATGGATCTCCTCAATTGCCACTATCCTAATTGTCCTTTCATTGCATCCGATTCAGCCATTTATGTTTATCTTACAATTATCAATGTGCTACATGGCTTAGACTATAATTAAAAAGGCAAAGAAACTTGTCCATCATTTATGTTTTCTTACTATGCTTTGTCTGTTTTTTGCCTTTTTAATTTCAGTCTGAGCTATGTGGCCCCTTGGCAATCATAAGATAAGCATGACTCGATGCAATTGATGGGGGATCCACACCTTAAATTATCTCTTTCTACAAATTCTGTGAATGATTCACATGGAGCTCTTACCTTCATAGCAAGTCCTAAATGTTATTGACAAATCAATCCTGACTGATTAAAAATCCATGTCACTTGCTTTATCAATTGAGCAATAGATGGGTGTATTGGTATCCCTTTAGAGTGCTGATGAGTTGCTCCTTTTAATTTTTGGGAGAATGACATGTGGGTCTCTTGTAAGGGAATTATTAACACTTTGGTCTTTAAGATTGACAGATGTGATATACTACATTAATTTTATTTTTGAACTTGGGGACTGAAGTATTAATAATTCCTTGCAAGGGACCCAAATGGCATTCTCCCTCTAACTTTTCCCTTGGTAATTTTCTCTCGCCAGGACTTAAAATCCTTAACCTTTGTGCTGGTTGGTACTTTAAGATACAATGGCAGTTAGCTCTATCATTATCTGAGCCCTTAATAATTCTGAAAAGACTTGATATTGATATTAATTTTGAACAGTGCTAAGCTCCGTGCTCGGCAGAAAGAACGACTCGCCCAGAGGAATGCAGTTGGTGTATCTCAACCTGTTGAGGGACTCCCTGGAGCTGAGTCACTCCTTCAGTCTTCTGCCAATGCAAAGAGTGCTGATCTTGAAAATGGACCAATAAATTTAGTTGGAGATGGTCCTATCAATTTAGAGGAGAACAAATCTGACATGCTTTCAGATGCTCAGAAGAGCCACAATGATTCCATTGCAAGAATGGGCAGGCTATCAAAACACATAATGGGTAGTCACATTGATGTTTCAGTCAATAATCTAGACCATTCTCCACCCTATTATAAGGGGATAAACGCCACAAACTCTATGCCCACCAGCAATTTGTTACCTGTTCTAGGACTTTGTGCTCCAAATGCCAACCTGGTGAAAACATCAGAAAGCAATCCTCCAAAGTTAAATTGGAGACAAAATAGACGGGGAGCCAGACAGGAGTTTCCATTTAGTCTTGCCCCTTCCTCTGGGACAACATCCATGGAGGCTGAGGTCAGAAGTCAGGAAGGAGCAGCAAATGCTAGACTACCAGATTCACTGGCACATATTTTGCAAGAGAGTTTCAAGAATAGAATCCCTGATCATAACCTCCCATTTCTTCCTGTAAGTTCTCCTTGCATGCTTTGTATTGATTTTGGATCAATTCTATTTATTCATCTTTATGGGTATAGCTTACCATATAAATCGTGCGCTTTATATATATATATATATATATATACACACAGTTTCATCTAGCTTTGCAAGGAAAGGAATCTGATGCACTTGAAGGGGCTAGATTCTCTGCTTTCCGGGAGAAGATGGGCCTGCCAAACCTGCCATTTGATGAAACATTGCTGGCCAGATTTCCACCCGCAACTAAGAACATGCCAAATTCGCATCTGGATCTTTTACCTAATTTGTCACTAGGCAGCAGCAGCAGCAGAAATGAAGCTTTGAGTGGCCCATTACAAGACCTTCAAACAATGCCGTTATTACCTAAATTCAAAATTCCCCCAGAAGATTTGTTCAGATTTAATCAGCAAGATGGGGATGTGCCCCCCACGTTGGGTTTAGGCCAGGGCACAATATCCACATCATTCCCAGAAAATCATAGGAAGGTGCTTGAAAACATAATGTTGAGAACTGGGTCTGCGTCAAGCAGCTTGTATAAAAAGAAGTCAAAATTAGATGGGTGGTCTGAAGATGAACTTGATTGCCTCTGGATTGGTGTTCGTAGACATGGAAGAGGTAATTGGGATGTTATGCTTAGAGATCCCAAGTTGAAGTTTTCAAAGTATAAAACATCTGAAGATTTGGCGATGAGGTGGGAAGAGGAACAACTCAAGGTCTTTCAGGGGCCAGCTTTTCCTGTGTCAAAACTGGCCAAGATGTCGAAGTCTACTAAATCCGCCCTTTTTCCTATCTCTGATGGAATGATGGAAAGGGCCCTGCAGGGGAGCCGATTTATCTTGCCACCAAAATTTCAAAACCATTTGACTGACATGAAACTAGGAGTGGGTGATCCTTCATCGAGTATGTCGCATTTTAGGACACCAGATCGACCTCATTTTCAAAATGATCATTTTGCCCCTCTTCCTTCTTTTAGTCATGATATAAACAGAGCAAAATTTCCTGGAGATGCTTCTGCTGAGCAATCTGATAGACCAGGGACTTCTTCCTATGTACCTGCTGAAAGGCCATTTTTACTAGATTCTTATGGAACCAGTTGCTTGGGTTCTCTTGGTTTGAATGGCCCAGGAAGCTTTAATAGGCAACAAAAAGAGGATCAACAAGGCGCCAGTAAGTTTGAAAAATCACCTGGACTTCTTGATGGGTCTTTTAATGATATGCGTGATACTCGAAATAATGCAGGAAATGGTGAATCTACCAGCTCTGTATTTCCATCTAACCCTGTTAAAGGAGCTGAACCTTTCACTTCAAAAGGTGAGGAAGGAGTAGGGAGTAGTACTTCAAAAGACAAGCTTCCCCACTGGTTACGAGAAGCAGTAAGCTCCCCTGCTAAACGCTCTGATCCAGAACTGCCACCCACTGTTTCAGCAGTTGCTCAATCAGTTCGCTTGGTTTATGGAGAAAATAAGCCTACAATACCTCCATTTGTGATTCCTAGCCCACCTCCTTCCCGTCCAGATGACCCCAGATGTAGTTTGAGAAGGCGGAAGGTTAAAAGAACTCATAAGTTCAGTCAGGTCCTACCAGAAGTTGCTGGGAGCAATAATGACCTCAGATCCTGCCGGAAGAGGCATGGAAAATTTAGAAGATCTAAGTTCCACCGGAGGGGCCTGCTAGATGTTGCCGGAAGCAGCAATGATATCCTCAGTGACCTCAACATCGATGACAACGGTGCTTCCTGCTCAACTTCTTTGATCCCTCCTTTACCCCTCCTTCCTCAGACAGGACTTCAGCAGATTGAATCTGGCCTCAATTCATTAAACCTGTCACACTCATCAGCAAACCAACTTAAAAGGACGAGCAGTTCAGGACTGTCTCCTTCTCCTGAAGTGCTCCAGCTGGTGGCATCCTCTGTTGCTCCTGGTCCAAATGTTCCATCCATTTCTGGCTCTTCAAGATTTCCTGAGGGCAAACTCCCATTGCCTAGGCCTATTAAGCCGGCGAAATTCAAAGCCACCGAAGGTGCCTTTGGAAATAAGATTTTGCCTAGGCAGACTTCACCAAAAAATTTGGGTTCGCATGAGGAGCAACATAATGTAGAACACCCTGACAGTGGAGATTCCAGCAAGACTCAGTCAGATCCCTCTAGGACTGAACGGCCTGATGAAGTGGAGGTATCATCTGAGGGGACTGTATCCGATCACGCTTTAAGAGATAAGGAAACATAGCTTAGTGTCTCAGATAAAAAAATTGGGCTATATAATTTCATGGTTCTAAAGGTGGCCTCTTCAACCTTTGCGCTGGAATTTTTGTAGGGTATTATGACAATGAGTGAACTAGAAAATACGGGGTGGTTGAAAACGTGTAAAGTTTTCATCAAGTAAAATGAAATATAGCGTTGTCTGTTCGTTATTTTATTTTCGGTTTTTTATGTTTCTGGTAATTAAAGTAGGGATATGATTCTCAAAGAAACCCAAGTCAAGTTAATGAGAAATAGAGATGTCTTTACATGACAATTTGTGCAAGTGAAATGAGGTTTCGAGTGGCCTCAGTGAAGGATGAGATTCCTGTTGCAATACTTGATTTCAGGATTCTTCATGATGCTGGACCTTCACTTAAACGCATATTCATCCTATCTTAAAAGTCACTAGGTCTGTGGTTAGAGAATAAATTGGTCCTTTTTTTTAATAAAAAAGAAATATATAAATTTTATTGACGAAATCATGAAACAAGTTGTTCTTTGCACTCAGACATTCATATTTCATGGGCTTCAAATACAATATATATATATATATATATATAATATTTTTCTAACTAGGAATGTTTTTTGTATGTTAGTTTGAATAATAAGTTGTGTTATTTGTCAACAACTAGTTGTCTAAGTGGTAGCGTCATCTTCTTTTAAAAAATAATAATAATAATAAGTTCAAAGCTAGTGTTAACATGTTTGTAATATTAATGTTGTGAGAAGTTAGAAATGAATCACATATTGATTATAACTTAAAATCCCTCTATCTTGAATTACATGGCACTTTTAAAAAAGTTTTTCCATTTCAAAAAAGTTTCTCCATTTCAAAATATACGATACTTTAGGCAGGTTAAAATTTTATTAAATATGTCAATTTTAATATTATCCTTTCTCTCTTTATAATTAATTTTTTCAATATATTAAATGATGGATATGTTTTTAAACTTATATTTTTATTTTAAAAAAATAAGGTTGTTAAATGTATTTAATAAGATTTATTTTTACATGAGATTTTATTTAAAAGTGTTTTATAATTTAAAAAAGAGTACTATTTAATTTGATTCAAAATTGGAACAAACCAAATATATTTTACCAAATAGTTTTTTTTTTTTAGCAATGTACCAAATAGCTTTGACATGTGAAAATCTAACTGGATCTTATCTCTTGTTACTTTTACTTAATTCGTTTTTTTTTATTTGATTTGGTTTGCTTCCAATCACAAACTAAATTGTTTATGAAATTAACAGCTGGGAAAGATATTTGACATATTCATGTGCTTAGAAAATTTGACTGGCATTGTTCATCATGAAGTGGGACAAAATCACAAAATAGACTAAAAAAAAAAACCATTTAAAACACTTTATTTCTGAAGTATATATCGAGCTCCACATCCAATGCCTGCTGCCCTCATAATAAAGGTACCCAAAAAAAAAAAGAGTTAAAATAACAAATTCAAAAATCCTTATGGGTTATATCAACATATAACAAATCATTCACATGTGGTATATAATGCATTTTATTTTTCAAATTCTAGTATAAAACATCTACTTAGTTAGAATTTTACTGTTTATTTTGTCATGTTGGGGGGCAAATATGAATGAATTTAGCTTGATAAATGGAGAAAAGTCCAATGTCAAATAGGGTTGAGCTAGAAAAAAGATATACAAGTAAAAAAGACTTGTAAACTTAACGTCTTAATATTTTGAATTAAGATATAATGTCATGTCCATTTCTATATCTTCTCTTGAAACAGTTAAAAATAAGCTTGAAACAAAATTAAAATATTAAATCAAGATTAAGAAAAATCCTAGAATAAAAGATGAAGTCAAGGTATTTTAACACATAATAATCTACATTTATTTATAACATATAAAAATTCTAACTAAATGTACTATTTATAAAACCATTTGTAATACGTTTTTTTAATTCTATGGAATGCTTGTTCTAATCCTATTTATAAAGCATAAGAAGAAAGATTTTTTTTTGGTCTAATTATAATGCCTTTCATTGACTTTTAATAATAAATTATTTCTTTTGCTTGTATCAAATGTTAGTGAGAGGATATGTAATTAAAGTATAATTTAGTAGTGGTAAGGTTAAAATTTTATTAAATTTTTTAAAATAATTAATAAATTTTATGTTTTCTATTTTAATTAATATATTAAAAATGATTTATAAATAAAATAGGAGGAAGAAGTACTAGTTTTTCGAAAAGAAAGAGGAAAAGAATTTTTAACAGCTGGTTTAATGTTAAAGGCATGTGAGTTAGTGTTGACCATTAATCACGCATTTTAGTCTCTTCTCTATGATAATTAAAATACAATTTGCTCATACAATGTAGCTGACCTATGCACGTGCCAAACAGGTTCGTTTTTGGAGATTAGCAGCTTGCTAAGCATTGAGGTGCTCATCGTTCAAAATAAGTTTGAACCATCCTGAAATTAAATTTAGATGGTTTAGATTTTTTTTAAAATTTAAATTTAATTTAATTTTTTATATTTTATAAAAATAAAAATTTATAATTTTTTTAAATATATTCATTATTAATCTGAATAATATTAATTTAATTTAGATAGTTCAATTTAATATTATAATTTTTATAAATTGAATATCTAAATATACTGTAGATAATACAGATTCAATATTAAAATTTTTAATAATTTTTTATTTTAATAAATATAAAATAAAAATAAAAATAAAAGCTTTAAATCTAGACCTTACAAATAAAAATTTAATATTAAATTTGGACTGTTCAGAGTACATTTAGATAATCAATATATAAAAATTATAACATTAAATTGAACCACTCAAATTAAATCAATACTGTCTAGATTGATGTTAAATATATTTATAAAAAATATAATTTTTTATTTTAATAAAATATAAAATTAAAATTAAAATTGAAAAAATTTGGATGGCCCAAATTTTTTCCAGGGCAATGAGCACTTCGGTACTCAACGAGCTACTGAGTACCAAAGACGGATCCGTGGCAAACGCACCCGCTCCACTCTTTCCAGAACTACTCCAAAATATTTTTTATTTAAATAAAACTGTAAATTGAAATATTTCAAGTGAAAAATTTTATAAGAATCGTAGTGCACAAATTTTAGTTTATAAATAGTAATATTGCATAAGAATTAATTAATAATGTAAAGAGGTATTTATTTAATAATAATGCATTTGTAAAACATTTCTTAAACAGTGTCTGATTCTTAGGTTTCGAGTTATTTTATATAATTTTACATATAAAAAAAAAGTAAGTTTTACTTTAGGTCTATTGTATTTTTTTAGACCAACTTAGGTCTAGTATATTTTTTTTCCTTCGTATTTAGGAGGGTATCATTTTTTTAAATATTACTTTTAAAGTAAGGCATAAAAAAATGCTACTTCCATGAGGAAGACTGGTGGGTGGGGAGGTAATTTAAGGTGATAAAATAATGACATTCTAAAGTTCAGTTTCTTTAGCTGTACCTTCTCTGAATTAATTCTAAATTAAAAATCAAAATCATGAAGTCATGAATCTAATTTATGAAAACTGAAGTTTGCTTTGTACAGGAAAAGCTAAGACTCTACTATTGGAGTTAGATTTAGTAGAAGAAGTTAATATCTTACAATATGACAAATCAAAATTTAAATGCTCAAATTAGTTAGCAATAGGTAAGAAAGTAAAAGCTTAATTCATGCTAAAAGGCATCATCCTTAAAAACTATTTCGTTACATTGCTATGGTAGATCAGCAGTTCTTTAGGATTAAATAAGCTCATCTTGCAAATAAGCAAGGCCACAGAACAGCACAAACCAACAAAAGTAACTCAGACAGCACAACATATAGCATACAAGGAGGAGGAAAAAAGCGGCTCAAAAACTCAAGAGCCAGGCGAAATGTTTTGTCTGCATGCATGCCTATATATAGGCCAAGATTCTGGATATGAACGTTGGGTCTTTAATCACTGGAATAAACCACAATTAAATTTCAATTACACGTATATTATTTCTAGAGCTATTCGGGGACAAAACACTAATGAAAATTGATTAGTAAAATCTGTTTAAGAAATTGCTTAAAGCTTACAAAACGGTTAAGGTTTGAATTCAAACTTCAAATGGCCAAAAAACAAGGTTTTCTAGTAAGCTAATTTAAATAAATAATTATTTATTTTTTGCAAAAATAATTTGATAAAAAGAACCCAGTGTCTTTTTAACTCATTTGCAGGGGGTGAATTGACTGTTTTCAACTGCAATTTCCTTGAGTTGGCTTGTTTCATACGCAGGAGCCTACTTCTCCTTCAAATCTATTTTGCTAGTCCATTTCATTCCTTAGTATATATACACTAAGAGCTCTCTTTATGTGGACAATGTGAGATTTTTTTTCTTTTGACACACAAAATAACTACAACAAAATTTAGTGTCAGATTATCTCTCAACATAATAATCTTGAATAGGAGAAGCAATAAAAACACAACCAAGACTTTAGAAGAAATCTTTGAATACCTAAAAAACATTTTTGTGTCAAACCAAAACCTACAAGTACAGTCCATTGGACATCAAACTCGGCAATGATATACAAGAGGAATACATTCTTTTAAATATCAATTAAGGGTTAAAGTGCATTTTTCTTTTCATATTTTTTTCAATGAGTGTTGAGCATCTTATACTGATAATTGGGATATGTTTTTCCTAAACCATTTTGCAATAAAGGGGGATCTTTGCTCCTTTGTAAAATAGTTTAAAGGAAAAAATAATTCACTTATTTTTGTATAAAGCGTTTAGTGCTTCTTAAAAATAAATTTTATTGTGTCCAGTACTCTTAAACAATAAATTTAAGGATAAATTAACATAAAAAATATGCTACATTAACAAAAAAATAATAGTTAACGAGTCATTAATGGAGAGAGATTTTTATCCTTTGAAAAAATCATTTAGAGATAAAATGATCTATTTATTAGTATAGAGTGCTCAACGTTCTCTAAAAAAAAATATAAGAAAAAATGCACTTTAACTCAAATAATAAATAATAAATATGATTCTCAATTTTTAAACGGAATCCTTAACTATTTGTCCAACTCCTTTAATACCATTAGTTTGAAAAATGATATTTATTTATTTATTTTGTCGGACTAAAAGCATCCTCCACCGATGACAAGTGCAAAAGTCAAGTGGCTGACTCCTCCTAATTTGATTCGTTTTATAGATAATATTAGAAGATACCAACTTAAACAACGTGCGTGCTTTGTAAAATAGAGGGAACAAAAAATTTTAAGGAACCAAAAATAGTTTAGGGAACAAAAAATAACCCACTTATTTTTGTATAAAGTGTTCGGTTCTTCTTAAAGATAAATTTTAAGGTGTCCAGTGCTAAAAAAATAAATTTAGGAGCAAATTAACACCAAAAAATAAATCACATTAATAGAAAATGATAAAGTTAACGAGCCATTAATGAAGAGAGATTTTTGCCCTTTTAAAAAGTCATTTAAAATAAAAATGACCCTCTGATTATTCTAGAGTGTTTAGCATTCTTCAAAAGAAAATATAAAAAAAATGCACTTTTAACCCAAATAATAAATATAATTCTCAAATTTTAAACGGAATCCTTAACTATTTGTCCAACTCATTTAATATCATTAGTTTGAAAAATAATATTTATTTATTTATTTTGTTGGAGTAAAAGCATCCTCCGCGGATGACAAGTGCAAGGGGCAAGTGACTGGCTCCTCCTAATTTGATTCGTTTTATAGATAATATTTGAAAATCGAACTTTGAAACTACTTGTTTAAAAGATGCCCCTTGTTTTATAGATAAAATATTGAGATTGAACTTCCGAGTATTTGTTTAGAAGATACCAACTTAAACAACGTGCGTGTAGTTCGATTGGATTGGAGTTGTGATATCTTAACCAAAAATAGCAAATTCAAGCTTTAAGCATGCAATTACATCAAATACTTGTTAGGAAAGTTTGCTACTCTTATATTTTAACCTTACTCAATTTAGATTAGGTAGGACTCAAAAGGTTCTAAATACCAAGAGTGCATGCAAAAATACATGCCGACTTAAGTTGATGAAAAATAATAGTTAAAATCAAAATTATTTAGCTTTATTTTTAATTGTTGAAAGGTATCGTCAAACATCAAACACTAAATATAAATTATGAACGCTCTTCAAATAGACATTTAAATTTTGGTTCAACACGTGAGGAATTCATCCTTTCCATCAAATTCAACCTTCTGTTTATTTAGGCCTCGTTTGGTATGATGGAAGAGTTTTTAATAGAATCAGAATCGAAATAGAATTGAATTTTAAAAGTATGTTTGTTATAAAGATAGAATTCTAATATAATATTAATTTATATATATACTTAAAATAAGAAAAGACTAAATTATCCTTTTTTTTAAATTAAAAAGACCTATCTTGTTATAAATGGACAAAACAGATGAGTATAGTGGAGTCCACAGATTAAATTCAAGGGAATTTAAGCAATTCTATGATCAATATGATGGAATTGAATTCTAACATTTTTGGTGAAATTAAAATTCTTAGAAATTGTAATTCTTACATATCAATCATGCTTAAATTAAAATTTCATCTTTAATTCCATTTCTACCTTATTAATTTAATGCTACCAAACCTTAGTTTTCTTTTGGTTTATAAATTCTCAGCCAAAAATATAAGTGATTTCTTCAATTTTTCAAAATGATAGCTCATTTGAATTATTACTCTCAACAGTTCCCTGCTGTACCGCCCAGCAAAAGGAATAAACTCAGGACTTCATTAATGATGTTCATGAACTGAATTAATTATACATAGACTAATAACTTTTGAAAACGAAAAACGAATAAATCTAAGTACAGCTCTATAAAGTATAGTATCATAAACCCAGCTTTACCATTGATGAAGACACATGAAGATATGAACCCAATCAGAATGGTAAAAAAAAAAAAAAAACCGGGAAAATAATTAAAAGGACGGAAGAAACTTAAGATCTAACGGAAATTGGATAACCTATCGATATATCACCTTCACTTTTTCCTTTATACACTCAGTTCTAGTTTCTCTCCAATATATAATTTCTGCAACTAGTGAGATCCTCCTGCAACTACAGGAATAATCGGACAGGAAGAAGATCTCTGCGGATTGGCCACAAACCTCGAAGAGAATGCGTAGAACTTGTAGTAATCTTCATCCAACAAGCTTCCGCATCCGCCTCTTCCGTCGTCGAAGTTCAAAGAATAGCTCAGCGGATCGTATCGGCATTGGAACGAACCTTGCCGGCTCGCAGATCGCAGCCGTTTGCTATGTCGGCGCCTCTTCAGTTTTCTCACTAGTTTTGTCACCAGACAGCAGCAACTGCATCTCGAACTGCCGGTACTGCTGGCAATCGAGGCGGCGGCGGTTGCTGCAGTGGCTGATTCCTCTTCCATCTTGACGGCGGCGGTGGAAGGTGAGGTGACTTTAGGGCACCAGAGAGACCACATTTGAGTGTTGAATTGGGGGGCGTATGGCGGGGGGAGTGACTGTTGTTGGGTGTGAAAAGGGATTGGGAGATTCTTGGGGCATGCATTCTCCCTTTGACTGTTGCTATTTATAGGCCGATGATTTGTTTTCTGACGCGCCCACCCGGAGCGTATGGTGAAATCATATATTTTTTAAAAATATCCGTCGTGTTATAATTTTTATAAATTTTATATTATGATGATGGTTGGCTAGCTTTAATTAAAAGAATTTAAATAATCTTCTTTTTAATATTACTGATCCTATTATAAAAAAAAAATTTGAATAATTATTTTTAAATACCTAGTTCCTCATAACACAATATAATTCATTTTCTAAAAGCTTTACTTTGTTCACAATATAAAAAATTAGATAATTTTTATAATTATTTTTTGATTATATCCCTATTTTTTTATTATTTTTTAAAAAATGATATGTTTAAATTTTAATTTCTATTATCAAAAAAATTACATAAAATATTTAATAAAAATATAATTAAAAAGGTGTAATTTTTTTAATAAATTAAGGTTTCATCTAAAATTTTGTAAGAATTATAAATTATTTATCAGTGTCCTATATTATCCTAGATTGAGTATTGCTTTAAAAATTTTGACTATTTTTAACTATTTTGGCCATTGTTAATAAAAGATAATGATAGGGAAAGGAGTTGTTTCCCTAAAAAATAAATAATAATATTTTACTCCTCAGATGTCATTAGATGTTACGCTACCATCTAAACTATCTAGTAGTTTTCAGAATATATGTATATAATCTCAAATGATATATATATTTCAAATAGAGGTGGTGTAATCTTAAATGATATACGTAATCTTTCACTCGAGGTTAAGAAAACAAAATTGTTGATCTCTCTGTATGGTCTGTCACCAGATTCGTTTCGAGCAAAACAATTTCACAAGCAGCAAGGTCTAGTCCGAAATATTTTCAAAATTACCTTAGGGTAAATTTTTGTCTTCACGTGCAAAGAGATGAATGCCAACTTGAAATCTACTGCTCATCAATTCGATTAAGAAATTTAAAATTATTTTATTCTCTTTAAAAAATTTTAATTTAAATTTTATTAAATATACATATTTTAATAATAAAAGTAAAACAAATTTGTAATAAAAGATACTCCCTCCACTTAAAAATATAAAATATTTTTAAGAAATTGAATGTTTAAAAATATAAAATATTTTTAGTCTTTCGAGGTGTAATCATTACCTTTTTTTAAAAGTAGCCCTGTTAATAATGACTTTATATTTTTTATAGGGTGTTTAATAGAGATGAATATGAAAATATGGAGTTAATTTGAAAGTAAGTAACTATTTTATTGAAGGGCGAGATTCGATTAAAAATATTTTATATTTTTTAACAGAGAAAGTAACACTTTATAAGTAGAAAAATTATCTCTGTTTATGCCTTGTACTCCTTTTAGATTACTCTTTTTAATTTTTATTATAAGACACTTTTAATCATTTTATGCATATTAAAAAATTTTAATTTTTAATAACATAAAAAAGATGTATTTTTCATTTTCATCATTAGCTTTAAATAATTATATAACTATATTGACTACCTTCATACTAGTCAAGAAAGGATAAAATTAGACAAAATAATTTAATTATTATAAAGCATTCTACATTTTATAACAAAAATTACTTCTAAAATGTATCTTATAAATAAAATTAAAGGGAGTATAATAATATGACATTTTTTATAAGTTTTGTTTAATCTAAAATATAGGGTATTCATAATTTTTATAATATTTTTCTAACTATACTCCTGATTTATTTGTTATTTTTTTAAAATAATATATTAAAATTTTAATTTTTCATATTAATTAATGCACTTATATAAAATATTTAATGAAAATATAATTAAAAATGTACAAAAAAAATTAAGAATTAAGAGATTAAAGTTTCATCTGACAAAATCGTAAAGTAATTGTGAATACCTTATATATTGGGGTCCAAGAGTAAATAATAGTACAAGTGAGAGCAGGAGTAAAAATATAGGGACGTGAGTGATTGATAGGATAAAAGAATGAAAGGCTTTAATTATGTGAGCGAGTGGGTGGATTGCATCATTCACGTGAGGGGTGAGAAGTGAAAAATGACAATGATAACATTTAGCAATGATGGCCCTGATCTCATCCTGCTCCTCTGCTCTCTTCCACATCAACTTGTGTCTTATTTTCTCACAATCCCTCTTCTTTTCAGTAATTCATTCTACGCATTTTCTTTTGGGAGAATTTCTTCTTCTTACTGTGGATGTGATTTATTTTTCAAGTAGTCCCGACATAATTTAAAATTTCACTGTAAAATATTAGGCTTGAATTGAAATCAAATTGTAAAACAAAATAACCAACATATCATTCTTTTTCAACATCTTGCAGTAAAGCAAATAGCACAAGAAAAATAAAGCTTTTAACAATTACTGTCATTAATTTTACAAGTTAAGCTAGCAGCTTAACTAATAATGAAAGTAAAATTAAAAAATTAATAAGTTTAATCTCTTTAAGAATTAATAATCATGTTACCTACAACATAGTCGACATAACAAGTAAAGTAAATCTTTTAACAACTGATGTAGTTAATTTTGCAGGTTATAATGATGATTTAAAAACCTACAGTTTTAAGATCACCACATGCATTTCTTTTTGTTAATCAACTATTCCTTCAACTCAAAAATGTACTGACCAAATATTACTCCTAATACTTTGGTCAAAAAAAAATACTACTCCTAATAAAATAATTATTTTAAATTAATATCTTCTTTTCATATTAATTTATCCTTATTTAATAAAACATTTTATTTTAAAATAAATATAAAGTAATCTATTTATTAGGGACATTTTTTAAAAAAATATAAAAATTATACTTTAAAACACTAAAAATATTTTATATTTTTTAACATCAAATCTTTCAAAAAATACTTTAACATAAGGGATATGTCACTTGTTAAATGTTTTACTTTACTTATTAATTCTCTTGTATTATTTGTTATGCTATAACAAAATGAAGAATAATATTTTAGTCTTTGTATCTTAGAATTTTATTTTAATTCAAACCTATCATCCTACAATGAAATTTTATACTCATATTATTTTAGGTTTGATTTGAAAATATGTCACGTACATGGTCTTTTCTTTTTTTAATCATATATAAGCCTTTACAAATTTAATTTGAAGATAAACTTGGCTTCTAATTAATCCTCTTAAAGTCCATTGCTGCCTTCTTCTAGAACTCGAACGATATTCTTTATAGGACAAATCACAAATGCCACACTGGTCTTTGACCAAGTGCAATATACGTAGTATGTTAGGCTTGATTTAAAGTTCAGGGAATTTTTTTTTTTTGGGGCCAGAAAAAATTTAGGAACTTATGCATAAGAGAAAAAGATGATACAGGACTTTTCCTGGCCTAATTGATGCAGTTTATTCAATATTTAAAACTTGTTAATTGCTTGTTCTGCTGGAACCAGATTTTCTTGTCTAAACTTTGAAATTTTGTTTGACATGCAAGGTTTTTTTTTCTCTCACGAATGTTCTCTTATAAAAGCTAATTTTGTTCGAAACATAACCAAAATATTAAATGTGAGTTTATGAGTTTGGATCTTAGTTAACTAATTCTTCCCTTTAAATTTATCTCCTTCTTTTTAATTAAAGGGAGAATGGTGTGTAATGCCATCAGAAAAAGACTTGAAAGACTCATGAAATTAGCGTTCAAGTTGAAGTAATTGAACTACCCTTAATGAAGAAATTTATGAACTTTTTGTTGGTAATAATTTATTTACGAGAACTTGTAAATTCCCTCTTCTTATATTTTTCAAGAACAAGGGTAAATCATAAATAAATTCTTGCAAACATCTAATTACTTGTCATTTTCAAATCTCGTGTTATTAATTTGTTTTGATAATTCCGTGTGATATTTTTTTAAAAAAATTATAATTAGATCTCACATAAAAAAATTAATTACTATAAAATTTATTAATAATTAAATTAAATTATATTAATAATTAGTTGTGTTATGAGTATGGTTTAATTCAGTTATTAATAAATTTTATAATAATTAAATTTTTTATATAAAATTTTAATATAATTCTCTCTATTTTTTTTCCCTCCCAATTATTAAGAACAGGTCATCATAGCCAATTGTGTATCCAGTGGGGAGGCATATCAGCATAAGACGTGGTCGTCACTCACTGTTGAGGGATCAGACCAACAATTTGACTGAAACTCAAAAGCCTCGTTTGGTGCAACTGGGTGGGTCCCACTCCCACTATCACCATCCTGCTTGTTTCTGCTTTCCTTTTTTGCCCCTCCAATCAAATCCTTCTCTCAGTTCTTCTGCCGCAATCTCATTTGATTTCAGCCCTACTGTCACACTCGCACTCTCTCTCTCTCTCTCTCTCTCTCTCTCTCTCTCTCTCTCGGAATTATAATGATAGAAACATTTGCTTTGACCACATGCCTTGTCAGATCAATCATGTTCTCCCACTTTTTATTGTTTTTTTTATTCAAATCGGATCCAGTGATTTACCCACTATACGCATCACTCGACGAGTACTGCACGTTAGTACATTACATAAACATGACAAAAGAAAAACTCAAAAAAGCAATAAGTTTCTGAACTTAAAAAAAAAAAAAAAAACAGAGAGAACACTTTAACAGAGAAAGGAGATTTAGAGGGAGATTCTCATCAGATTTGAGTCCGAATTGAACTGAAAAACCTGCAAGAAGAAAGGAACATCCTCTGAGACAATGTATGTACAATGGTCAATGAGGTTGGGAAAGGGAAAGGGAAAGGGAAAGGGGAAGGGGATGGATAGAACTTTCCTCTGTTTAGGAGGTGACATGGACACTCCCCCCTAAAAATACTTCAAGTAATTTATCATCAAGTTCTTATTTTTGTAGCTTATAAAGTTATAAATGTTGTCTTTCGGACAAGTTACATTGGAACTTCAGGAAAAAAAAAATTATTTTATTTATTCCATCACTTAGTATCATGAAAAACCCATAAAAATATTGCCACAACTTTCTAGACTA